CATACTTGGTCAATATTTATTTAAAGCTTACTAAGCGCTTTTTTCGTAGTTTATAATGCGCACAATCAAGAATGCTATTCCCTTAAGATTCTAAAAAATCTCAAATGGCTTTGGTTGATTCCGTACAACAGTGAAAGTGTTGAATGAGTCACTTTTAAAATTGAGGATATAAACAGTACGCTGTGAAAACACGATTCGTAAATATTTTCACGATAGAAAAAAAACATAAACTTACATCGAAATTTTACAAGAAAGCAGCTGTATTCAATAGGTACCATACATATATGAATGACTTTTTAACATCAACTGAACTAAATAGAGCACGATACACGATATCCTACATTTTTCAAATGGCCTCAATTTCGTTTGTAATTAAATAAATTCTGAAATAAAGCCAGTTATCGACCAAAGCAAAATGAACCGTATTAGCACGGGAAAAGTTTAAATTCGAGGTGAAATAGTATCGACTCATAGGACAACATTTTAATAGAATTCGACACTTAGCAACAACACAATTATTGTGAACATAAAACAAAGTCTGATTGACTGAATAATAGGTAAGTGCGGACATATTAATTAAATTGTTCGAACGTATTTATTCCCATTTTGTAATGTTAGTAGGAAGTTTAATCTATTGGATAATAAAATATACAAAAATTAAAACACCAAATGTACAATATATTATTTCAAATTTATTAATAAACCATTTAATGAAGTTTCCTTAACATTTTATTCAGTAGAACATTTTTCTGCGACGTTTTTGATTTCACTGCAAAGCCCTCGGTTGTCAAATTCAGGGCATAACTGGAAGAATACAATGAAATTAAAACATAAATGTGTGTGTAAAATGTTTTCTTTATTAATCTTGAGTACCTAAGTGTTACACTTACACGATGGTTTAAAAATTGAAAAGAAACCTATTTTTTTCGGAGTTAAACTTATACCACCATATCCATCAAAAGTCGACCGAAGACCTGTCATTTTACCTTATCAGGTCTTGAGATCTATGAATTGTAACACCTAGTTACAGGATGAAAGAAATTATGAGCTTAACTGCTAGTGCGGCCTCTTTTATATTGGACAAATAACATCATATAGATGTAGCTGATGCCAAGCACCAATATTGGTTTGTTTATTTGAAACACGCGATTTAAATCCAAACAAATAGTTTTAGTTCCATTTTCATTTTGACACCAATAAAAATGATTGATAACTGGAACGCACAAATATGGAGAAAGAAAGTGAGAATCGTCAATTTTAAAATAATATTTACCAATGCATATTGTACAAGTACGCATTGATTGAATTTCTTCAGTTCACAGAAATGTTCAAACCCAAATTTGCAATATCAGCGTTGATGCAATTCTTTTTGATTTTCTCAACTAGTTCAGGTCGCTCTTCGAAGGCCTCAACAATTATTGGTTCTATGGCATTCTTTATAATTGTCCCATCGTCAGCCACGTAACCCATTTTATTGCTAATACAACGTTCGAGCTCGTACTAAAGAAAAAAAAACCAATTTTATTTGACAAAAATATCAATCAATCACTCAATCAATATATTTATTCGACATCATAGGTCATAATATAATAGGGTGTACAGTCTTATTTCGCACAGCTATGATGCACCTCTTACAGAGGCATACGAAAATGTATGTCCAATCTAATCTTAATTTATGAAATATTAAATTATACATTACAATGTCAACTAATAAATCAATATAATGTCAAAACAAATTTCAAATTAATTCTATTATGTATTCAATACGTACTCGTATTTATAACAATTATTAAAAGCACCCAACCTCAAAAGTTTGTGGGATTACATCTTTTCATTTATTTATATATTTATTTTTCAAAAAGTATATACTTTATAGAAGTTTATCTCCCGCCAGATTTCAAATAGTTTGTTGACGAGCATGCTCTCAATTCGTCGCTTAAATGCTAAACGGCCGCATGACAAATTGCACTTTTTTACGAGAGAGGCAATCAAACTTTTCGACCTCATTTTTTAACATTGTTATATTTTTAATACCCATGTATTTATACTCAAAAGATGCGTATTTTAAGGCTCTATAAATCTGTAAGCACAGACACAAATCACAAAAGGATTGTTTAGCTCAAAAGTTAGCCACGAAAGTGCAGAATGTCAAGCAGGCATTTGCGTAATTCCGTTGTTTATTATGCCCAATCGCTAGGTGTCTTCGTGTAGTATTAAAGTTTGACCATTTTTAAACACATTTTTGCAATAAAAACATTTTAGATTTTGTTGTAATGCGGCGGGTTATAGATCTACAACTAGCAACGAACTATAGATCTACTTAATTATTAATTAAGTACCTAGCAGTGACAAGGTACTTACTTACTTATTAAACAAAACAACAATAACAATTACACTAATATGTAATGAAATACAACATTCTTACAGCAATAATATATTTTTTCAGACTTTTTTCTTTTTCAGATCGAAATTTATTTGCCAAGTTTTGCTGAAATCGGTTAACAGAAAGCGGGTGAAAGCGGGTTGTTACCCTTACAGGAGGAATTTGAGATATCGGTTTACCCCCTATCCAACTAAAAATCATTGAAATCGGTTCACAAATGTCGAGAATCCTTCTTTTTAAAGTCGGTTAAAAACCAAATAGTAGCCTAGTAGCATCCAGCGGTTAACAGAAACTGGGTGAATACCTAATAAATCGAATTCATCCTCTAATTTGCTACCCTTACAGGTGGAAATTTTTATACAAATTCGAATGGGACCACTATTAAGATATCGAGAAACGCCCTTTCCAACTAAAAATCATTGAAATCGGTTCACAAATGTCGAGAATCCTTCTTTTTTGAAGTCGGTTAAAAACCAAATAGCAGCGTAGTAGTATCCATAATACCGAAGTAAATAATTTTCATTTACCTGACAATCTAATTATTTTTTTTTAGAATCAATTTAAAAATACATTACACTTACATTTGTATCGGAAGTTGGTTTTGGTGATTTCGCTAGTTCGTCTAAACATTCATCAATTAGTATACCTTTTAAAGGGGGTATTGGCAGAGCTTTACAACAAGCCACCGCATCCTAAAAAAAATATGTGTAAAATTTTATTTAGCGAAGTGTTATCATGTCATCTATTTCCACCTGTATTCCCAGTATTACCAGGCACGATTTGATCGTTCAGTCATTTGGTATCAAAAAAAATAAATTTAAAAAATTCAAAAAAGAATTACAATAATGTTAAATTAGAATTAAATAATTATTAATTATTAACCAACGGACCTCACGAATTTTTCTATGTGCTTGAGTCGTGTCTTTGTATTTGGTTTTTCAACGACTTTTTAGTCGTAGCGTCATCTATGAGAAATGTGTGAAATAGATGGCGCTACGACTAAAAAGTCGTAGCGCCATCGTCGTTCGTTCCGTGGCTTAGTTGGTATAGCGTCTGGCACGGTATGCAAGAAGACGTCGGTTCGAATCCGACCGGATCGAAGGAATTTTTTCTGAGTGTTCGATCTTTGTATTAATAATTATAACAAACTAGTGGAGTAATTTCACAAAAAAGAATTGAATATCAATTCAATAAAAATTTCATTAGAATTAAATAATTAGAAAAAAATATTTTTGTTTGTTTGTTTGTTTGTTCGTCCGTTCGTGCCGTGCCATGCCGTGCCGTGTCGTGCCGTGTCGTGCCGTGCCGTGCCGTGCTGTGCCGTGCCGTGCAGTGAAGATAAAAAAAAATTTTTTTGGATAGTTAAGTTCATTTCTTTATTCTTATATATATATATCTTTGGATTCAGAATCAGGAATATAACACACTATAAGTATGTCCCACTTTCAAATATACGGCCTGTATAAAAAGATCAAACACGAAACAAAAATTTCTTCGATCTGACAGGACTATACTCGGCGTCTGATATGTAATATAAATACGTATAAAGCACTTTATACATACGTATAAAGCATCGAGTATCTAACCAGAAATAGAGACAGAGTAAGGGCAATCCACCCGCACAGCTGAAATCACAAATTAGAAAGCGAAATAGTACAGTGTCAAGAACTGACCTGTGTAAACGTCTCCGTATATTACAGAAATATTCTGTATTTATTGTTAGAAAAGCTTTTTAAGAAGCACGACTTTTTAAAAGTTCAAACTAAACTGGTCGATTTGAAGTGAAACAATTGATGACACCCGTCTATTGTTTCGAATTCGGGCTGGCCCTTCAGAACGCAGTTGTCACCGTAATGATTTGGCAGAATAGTTTTCAAACAAATTAAATGACATTTCGTCTCTATTATACTACGGTGTTACAACCTTCAGATTCAGTATTCACTATGTAGTCGATTTCTTGATGTACTAGGCATCGCAGATGATTTTAGAGCTAGAAAAGTAAAAAAAAAATTAAACTTTTTCACTTCACCTGTATGGGGAGTGATAACGTGAGTTTATACATTATTATATATACATTGAGAAGTGGACTACATAGTAAATACTGAATCTCTCCGGATGTAACACCTCGTATAATTATGGTCAAACATCACAGGTAAGTTTGTTTAACCATTAATTATTGTGAATTTATACGAACGTTCTTCCAAAAGCTGAAGAATGCAGTAACGTGTTATGTAATAAGTACAAACCTAGGTTTACCACTTTGTACAAGTTTTTTACCGTGATGTTACTTTTAATTACTTTCCTCACCAGGAAAAGTATAAAAGTCATACTGTGGTAAAAAATCTGAGACAACTAACGTTTTTCCTGCATAATCACGAATTGTCTGTTTAATGGTTGAAACAAAGTCAATTGCACTTATATATTTTGTGTATTTTTTGATACAGATGTAATTACGTTACTTATAGTATAAACTTGATTGGGAATAGGTAACGTTTCGATATTAAGACCAATTTAAAAAATATCCCAGATCTCAAACTCCAAGAATTAACGACATTAAATTGGTATTTTAAAAGAGGAACTTTTATGCTTTTGAGAATAAATTATACAGAAGAGACACGCAAGATAAATATATTATTCATAATTTTGTAACGCTTCGTATGATGAATATTCGATAACATTTTATTCGGCAGCACATTTTTCTGCGAGGGCTTTGATTTCACTGCACGACCCCTTGTCGTCAAGGTCAGGACATGACTGAAAAAAGACAATAGAAAAAAAAATTAATAAACTTTGACGCAATAACCAGCAGTAAAAAAGTGGCTAGTGTCTGTCATTGGATCCGACGAAACCCTCATCTGAGATTGTTTAAACTAATACTTTACTAATTTTTTACAGTGTTATTTGTATAATACTAACACCTAACAGGACTACGTTACTAACATCATAAACAACAACTTTATGTCCACGTATCTTTACAAAACTTAATAAATTTACCAATAATAACTGTTTGTCGTACTATCTGATATTTTTTAGATCTGTATTTGGAAGTAAGGCAAGTTCAAATGTGCAAGTTCAATGACTCCCACCCCCGTCCTGCACATAGTTATTATCGTTTAGAGCGTATTTTTATACGAAAATGAAAGCTGATGAATATTACAAGCCATGAAACAAAGTTGTTGTTGTGACGTTAGTAGTATAAATTCTGCGAGGTTGTTAGCATTTTACATATATTCTAATTATCGATTTCTGTTGATGTTAAAAACATCTGTTTTTAAATCATAAACTATGACCATTTTAATATTTATATACCTACAGAATTTGACGAAAATTTAAAGGGTTATAATAACCCCGTATTTTTTGTGAAATGTCTGTAATAACCCTGTATATTTTGGTGAAACGTTTATAATAACCTTATATATTTTGGTGAAAGGGTTATAATAACCCTGTAAGCTTTGGTGAAATTTTGTATAAAAATATTAAAATGGTCGTAGTTTATGACTTAAAAACAAACTTTTTTAACAACAGTCGTTCATAACAACAGACAAAAATCATTAACTAGAATAAAATTATAATTATGGATACATCAACCTACTGTTCTAAAATAATATTTACCATCCCATATTGCACTTTTAAGCAGTGATCCACTTTCAACAGTTCACACGTACTTTCAGGCCCATATTCTTTTACATCAGCATTGACGCAATTGTTTATCATATTCGCAACTAATTTAGGATGCTCTTTGAACTTCTCCACAAGTCGTGCTTCGAAGGCTTTCTTATCAATAGTTCCGTCATCAGCAAGAAAACCTATTTTCTTAGCAATGCATTGTTCAAGCTCGCACTGAAGAAAAAATCAATGTTTGTAAAATATTTAGTCAGTCATATCATATCCCTATTAGAGCGTAATGGATTATTAAAAAACAAACACACTTACTTTGTTTTCTGCAGCTGTTTCAGGTGACTTTTTAAATTTTTCAAAACATTCTTTTAGCGATTCGTCTTGTAAAGGTTTTGGAGGCGGTGTTTTGCAGCACCTTGCAGCAAGCTGAGCAAAAAGATATTAGCTTAACTATTTTCTGACTTGCACATCAACTGACTAGCTTAAGTTTTCTTTTGTGCTCACGATTTGCTAATGAGGACATCCAGATCGTGCTCAAACGATTTTAAACAGGGATTGAAAGAGGTATTGGTATAGTGTTTCAGCGCATTTTAACGGTTAACTTTTGAACTTTTTTTTTTGTTACCGATGTCTAATTCGTAAGTAATCTTAACTATGTGAAATATTCCTGCATGCAGTGGGTGTTTTATGAAATACTTTACTTACGCCAATAAGGGTTATTTCTTTAGATCACTGGTTCTAATAGTATATGAAACGTTATATGTAGAAACATTTGCATTTATAACCAGGATATGAGAAACAAGAAATCGTGAATACAAAAAAAAAGAAAATAAGACAAAACTACCACACCAATTTACCCACAACACCCAGATCGGTACCAACTTAGAAGAGCTAATTAAAATTTGTCTTACCGGGAATTCCGCATTCGACGCCCACAGTGCAAACCGCTGTGCCCACTGGGTTGTCGGAATTACTAGAGCCACGGTGATAGCTTATAAAAACTCATGTTAAAAACTCATGATGTCCTGTATCTACATTAATATATTTCTATGTTATGGGATGCACATTAAAATTCCAAGTTCCAGGAAGTCTGGCGCAAGCGGTCAACGATAAGCGAGTACCTTACGCCGATTGGCAAAAATCTTTCCACCACGATGGCAAGCATAATAGCGTATGCCATCGATACGATTAGAATAGAACTATGTTATAATCTAAGAAACATAAACAACAGTCACATGTTTATTCTAGTTTGATAATTAGATAGATAGATAACACGTTTATTCAGCACAAAAACAAACAAAAACAAAACATTTACAATCACTTCACAGAGTATAACATAAAAGCACATAGAACATTCATTATTAATTTTATACATATTTATATAAAACACATACTGCGAGAAAACCAAATACTGTGAGAAAAACAAGCAAATACTATAAGCATAAGCAGCTTGTGCTGAAATGAAAAAAACAGTGCTGCTTTTCTGCCAGTACCATATGGTGAGCGATCGCAGCCCAGTAAGCCATGCCACCAAAGTGCATCACACGCAAATATATATACCTAACTCTAAATAAGATGTATGCATATACATATTATTGACTTATGACTTGATATTTAAATATGTATTACATATCAAGTAAAAGTGCAAAATGCATAGCAAGTAATGTAAATAGTGTAAGTAATAAGGGAAGCAATATAAACAATAATGTAAGTTTAATTGTGCAAAAAAATTGTTATATTAACTTACCGGAGTCGCAAGTTGAAAACATTCCTTATCAATTGCCTGTAAAATAGTAAATATTTATATTACAAGGCTTCAACATAATTTAGTTACACAAATCGCCTTTTTCAGCCACCTTACCGCAATATCGATGTGTCCAAGGGCATTTTTTGCATTCATCACTTCTACTAAAACTAACAGTTATATGACAAGGATCAGCAGTAGAGCTCCTTGTGAAAGAGTTCGTCCAGGAAAGTACTGCCACCTTATCTATTTCTGCCGCCAAGCAGTAGCATTACTGCGTTCTGGTTTAGAAGGGTAACGGTGCTGGTGAAATTACATGCACATGGGATTTGTCAACTTATATCTCAAGGTGACAGACGCAGTGGCACCGCCCATCAGATATTTGCGATTTAAAGCACTGAGTACTCTGAGTGGCACTACAACTGTTATGGACAGGCGTGTTGCTTACCGTCAGGCGTACAACTTCTTCGTCCCGTTACTTGATTTTATAAAAAAAAACCATTTAAATGATTTTGACAAAAACACACCTGTATACTCAGAACACATGATTTTTATCAGGGCTAGTAGAAACAGAAATAGTATTATAATCAAAGAAACAATAATAATAATAACACACACATTCATAGCCCCGCACTCTGGAAACCCTGTGTCGCGGATACCATGGGTACACACAAATTAGACCCAAACCCACGAAAAAGTTTTCTCCCTGATTTGCGAATCCAAATTTCCAACAAAGGCTTATGGAAAAAGCGTTTAGTGTACTAGTTTCAAAATTGCGTAATAGTTTTTGAAATGCGCGGTGGTTCGAATTATGTGTCCGGTAATATATATGTTTTTGTTAAAATCATTTAAATATCATGTATCTGTTAAAATTTTAGTAATATTGGTTAGTGAACCATTGACGAAAATGATTCAGAAGATTCGAAACGTATGTATGTAAAACTTTATTGTACAACACAAACAAGTTACAAATTTCTAACAAAGAAATAGAACGTTATTGTAAAAAGGCTAGCTTATCCCATAATGGGATTTTTTCCAGCTAACCCTTAAGATGCAAGGTGCAACAATATTTTGAAAATATTGGAGTGATAAAACGATACTCCTACTTACCAACACCGAAGCTACTCCAAAAGCTACCAACACAACAAAACGAAGCATTCTGTATGATGTTCCACATCAAACAAGACAACCGACAAATTTGTACTAGCATTTTATACGCCATGCTTTTTATTTATAAGGTCAATTCAGCGTAACAAAGTGATAGAAAATTGTCACATTTAACATTTATGATAATGGTGGAAGCTTAAACTTCGTAATGAAAACAGTTTCACAATGGCACTAGAATTAATGCCTACGTAACCGTAAAAAGTGTTTTTCCGAAATCTTTTGTTAAGTTTCTTTTTAATAGTGTGTATTTAGTGTAATGCAAGTGGTCATACATGGTGGACAGGTTTTGACGACCTCCGTGATCGAGTGGTTTGCACATCGGTTTTCATGGTGTAGGTTTCCAACTCTGGGGTTTCAGACTCGATCTCCGGTCGAGAACATTTAGAAAAAAAAATTTCAATATCGTCTCGGATCTGGATGTTTGTGGCTCCATCGTTGTTTCCGATTCAAGTGCTTTAGTTATTTGTTTTGGGAACAATTTCAATTTCATTTATTGCACCATATAAAGTTTACTAAGATCTTAAAAAATAAACATATTAGTCCTTATTATAATGATACCCTGCAAGGGCATAGCA